GAGAGAGAGAGAGAGAGAGAGAGAGAGAGAACATGAAAAGGAGCTGCTTCTGTTCAGTTTCATCAAAAAGCACATTTAACATAATAACGATAACAAAAATCATCACCATAAGAAGCAAAGCAATTTTTGTAAGGGATTATTAATTTTGCTACCAGCAATGTTCTTAATTGTGGTTATGTGCACTAATAGTCACTTGTGTCATCTTCCCATCTCTCTTTCCTGCGAATTGAAGGGCATAAAAAATTGACATACTATATGCAATTTCATGTTAACCCTTGCTAAATATAATATATCAATATGAACCCCCAGCATGGCCTGACAGATTTGCAGAAATATAAGCATGACAGTCTAAAAGTTGGATGTTATACAGATACTAGAATCACTCTCCAGGTTGGATGTGCACATTTTGCCTCATTATCATCCTTGGAAGTTCTACTTCTACCTATGTTAAGGAGCAAAATATACAGTAATGGCAGAGACAAAGTGTCCCAAATACCAGCAAAGAAGATATCTAGTTATAGCTTTCTTTTATAAGAGATAGTACATATGCTTCAAATTATTTAACACGGTCAAGGGCACAAGGTATCAACCAGTAAATGACACAGGAGCGTTTTTAAACTTTGAATCCAGAGACGTCAAGATAATCATACTAATTCCTTAGTTTTCTCAATAAATCAGGAAGACTCATAAAAACTCCGTCTGAAGTATCCATGTAGACTTCAAAAGGTCTCCCATAAGCTAGCAATCTGAGTACAGGTTCCTCCAAAACAACAACCTTTAGTTCTCGGAATGTCGCTTCACATTTGTCTGACTATGGCCAATAATGCTTCTTCAAGCTTTAGCAACCCCATCAGTGAAGCTGTGCGCTTCGAAATCCTTGAGATGAAATGCCGATAACAATTAACGAAACCAAGGAAGGATATCAGCTCAAACACCTTCTATGGTATTTGCCACTCCACCATAACTTGCACCTTCGACTTGTCCATTCAAATCATCCCTCTATCGACTTGGTGTCCAAGAATAGAATTTTCGTTTGCATAAGGTAACACTTCTCCTTTTTTACGAACAAGGTATTCTTTCGGAGAATCTTGAATATTGTTTGAAGATGCTTGGTATGCTCATTGAGTATTATTTCTGAGCATTTAACCACAACCACAAAATAAAAACCCTAGACCTTACTATAAAAAGTTCCCTCGAGTATGATTTCCAAGATAAGCTTTTTTTTCCAACACTTAGACTCGAAAATTATTAAATCCTTCGAACCCCTTATCGACTTAAATATAGAAGGGCCCTTGTCAGGCATGTCCCCAATGCAATTTTTGCAGGATCTCTTATCAAACTCATTTATCTTCCAACATCAAGTTTGTGACAGATTCAAGCTCGAACTATGGTTTGATCCAAATCCTCCTTCACATCGGACAACCAAATTCTGCTTTAACACAATCAAATGCAACAACATTACTAATTAAGAAACATAAACTTTATTATCCATAACAAACAATTTCTAACATTTCACTTCATGCGACATTTTTTTGTTCTCAATCAACACGACATCCCTACCTATCTCATTAACAATACAAAAGCATTCCACCACAATCAAACTAGCTTAAAGACTTGAAACATTTAACCTTCATTGCCAAAGTATAAACATTAGCATTGACATAAGAGTGACGACTTTAAGGCTTTAAGGATACATAAATTGTAGTCCAATTTTTATTGGCTCTACTTTTTTACCAACCTCCTATATATATTTGAAGCTTTTCTTGAATCCCTAGGTTGGCTGACATAAAAAATATACTCGTTATATAAAGGCAATTACACATGTCCTGGCATACGAATTCCTTCCCAAGTCATTGATTGTTAATATTTACTAGCCACTAACTACCTGAGAATATGTGCCCCATTTTGTCAACACATGATAAGACTCAAGCCACTTTGTAACTATCGTAAAACACTTCCATTTAAGTTATCTTTGCATCTTATTATGCTCGATAGATTCAAAATTGGGAGTTATGTGTGAAGTGGAAGTTCCAAGAAGCACTAAAGTACACTATGATACCATAAATGAGGATGAAAGAGTTGAATACAAAATCACAAAAATTTCCTCAATAACGAGCTAATGATCTTCCTTAGAAAAGATTTTAACTACTAAAAAGCAACTTTAAATGCCAAACACAGCTTTAGCATACCATGAGGATATTCCTACCATTTAAATTAGATCAATTCAATTAGTGAATATACATATTCGTCACTCTTATTGTAGACTACTATAAGAAAAACAAGGTAGAAGTGAAAACAGAGGAAGTGACTTCCATATCTCAGCTAATTTGTGTATGTTGGTAAAGATAAAGTCCTTTAAACAAGTGCTTGTGCTTGAAATTGCAATGCTCAAGTATGATTATGAAAAAAGTGGCTAGACAGATGGAAAAAAGAGACTAGCCTTATTCTTAAGATACTCAGGATTTGTGGAAAGGGACTGGATCAAATCACTTCGGTCCTGCCAGCAAGCATAATTACTAGCACCATTAGTGCTTTAGTGAAAATTCTTTAGAAGCAGGATAATATAGTGCCAGATATATATTGGAGTAAGTAAATTCTTTAGAAGCAGGATAATATAGTGCCAGATATATATTGGAGTAAGTAGTATCCAGAGTCATTTCATGTTAAAAGTGACTACGATGGCATAGATATCAGCTATTAGTGTAAGCTGCTGCAGTAAATTATGATCAAATCAAGCAAATGATGTTGGTTAGTAGCTTTAGATAACTAATAACAGACGAGAAATAATTCAACAAGGAAAAAAGACAATTGTGCTTCACTAGCATTAATTGGAAAACATATGAACAAAAAATTTTGAATTGGTGGTAAAAGAATGTAATATGTTATAACTGAGGTATTACAGGTGTCCCTTTTTGTAGCTTACCAGTCCTTCCAAAAGAAATTGCTTTGTATTGCTTATCTCACTGTTTTAAGTAGCACATTGTCACTATATTCCCATTTTCAAATTTCACCTTAATTTAAATGCCTGCGATGCTTTTCTTTTTTCAAAGTTTAAAAAGGGCAGGTACTTAATTGTAATCTCATGTTTTTGTCTGTCAAAATTATAGAAAATTGAAATATTATCTGGACAAGTACTAAAAATAAAAAAGTTTGACCTACTACAATCTTCTATTGCCATACCATACTTTGCATCTTCCAATATCTAAGGGTGAATACATGACTGGAGCCTCACATCTTTTTAGAATCTTAGACAACGAATATAAAGAAAACAGATGACATTGGAGTTCTTAAAGGCTGAGAGTTCAGCTCACTTTAGGTAACCTAGCATGCACTTTGATTCCCTTGGTTTATGTTCCATCAAAGATCATGTAAAATATCAATTATTTTACCTAGAATCAATAACTTGTACAGGTATTCTTCAAGGGAACAGGACATCACACTTGACCTTCAGTTATTTCATGATCCATACCCCAAAAAAAGGGAACTCCAAAAAGAATAGCTTTTGCAAAACTAGACAAAGAACAAACAACACTAAGAGTTCAACTTACAATGCAAAAACTTGACTGTGCACAAAAGAATATGGAACAGAAAGACAACTGATTTTAGATTGATTAGCATGGAGCAAAACTTGTAGAATGCTTAATTTGGTTAATGCGCAATTTCTTTTATAAATTACCACAAATACCGAATTGCATGCCTTACCTGTACCCAAAGCACTGAACAATCAAAATTTGTAAGGAACCATTTATGCGCATTCATACCAAACGAATCTGCTTCTTCCACGCCATCAATATAATGACGAAACTCTGGACAAATGCAAGCACTGCCGGCATATGCAGCGTCTATATGAAACCACATACTAAAGGCCTACGATAGAGGACATAAAAAGGTACCAATTTGTCAATGATGCTAAGAATCCTAAGATTACAAAGAGCATGCTACTGAACAAAAATTAAGTAGGAAAATAGAGAGAAAATTTTCAGGGGACACAAAATTCTAGCAACATCATGCTTTTATTCAGACACGAAATTGTTCAGTTATCCCACCTAATTACAAGATCTACAACGTCATACATAAGCATCATGGATGGACAACATCTCAAATTAGTGAACTTTTTCCTCTACACCTATATGGATTTTGTCTTTAGAAATAACTTCCAAATGCCCAACCCGAAGAAGATTTTTTTTCCATTTTTTGAAATGTAGGGAACATACCAATGCAGAAGCCTCTGTTCAGGGATATCTGTTGATCGGCATTTACCAATCTTTTCTTTCCCCTCTTTTAACTAGCCTTGCAAAATCCTATCTTCTCTGTGTTGATCTCAGTGTAACTCTCAACACGTGGGAGGCCAGGTGTTTCCCCGCATATGTCAAGCCTATGAAGTGTATTACATAATACATAATTAATATTCTAGATATTATCTTATTGCAGTGTTGTGAGAGCTGCTGTTCAGCAGGTTTGCCAAATATATATGGGCAACATTCGTATCTGGCTCAGGTTATGAAGAACTTCCCTATAAATGTTAAGATGCCCCACTAAACTTAGTTTCTCAAGAACACTGGAATTCATGATGAACATTTTCCCCTTTCTTACATGCATGCTATCCAATCCAGATCTTACATTCAATCATGAACTCATTATAATACTTTAAATTTGAATTCATTAATCATAAAAAAGCCTAACCACAGGTTTTCAGCACCAATCCCTTGAATAGTAAAACTATTGATCAATTAATAGTTTTGAGTAGCAGAATGAAGTTAAATGCTTAACAAGAACTATCATTTTGATTATATTACAATGAATAAAGGAAATGGGACACTGCAGGGGTTGATTGACATTATTTAATAGCACTTATAATGAATTTGAGACTCCCTTTTAGTGATATCAGATTTGTCACCTTAGCTATTTTTCCTAGCTCAGATATGGGATCAACAGCTGCCGAGGATGTGGTGCCAACCTGTGGTCAAAGAAAAATTATTCTAAGCACTATGATATCAGAAGTTTTGACTTTTGAGAAGTGTACAAGAAAGATTACAACTGTCATATTTCTTAGAGATATCTGCATCATGCCGATTTATACAGTATATAACAAATTAATTTACATCAGCTAGCTTAAGATAATACAGAAGGAAGAATATACACAGACCCATTTCTCACAATTGCCAAGGCACCAGCATAAACTGGCAAGAAGCAACCAGTAAACAGTTACAAGCCAGTGTACTGTCCTACTGGTCATTTGCAAATATAAAATGCCACCACAAACTTTCTTAAACTTAAAACCACAAGAATGTAAAAATGAAAGTGAGTGCATGATAAGCTAAAATGGATATATAACAAAGTAAATTGTTCCTTACTGTGGCACATATAAAAAATGGTATCAATCCTGCTGTTAAATCACTAGATATTGCTTCCGAAACAACTTCAAGAGAAAGAGCATAGTTTGAAGTCAAATCAGTCTTCAGAACTCTGAGGTTTTCCGGAAAGATTCCTGCAATCTGTCAAAGAAACACTTGGACAATACAATAGTGACACCAACATGTAAGTCAGCCATTAATATTTAAAGAGTATGTATATAAGATGGAAATGGTGTATTCTTATAAGTATCCATAGAAAGCCAACAGCACTGATCTTAAGAAGCCCAGTTATTGCTACAAAATATATTACTACAAAATTTACAGCAGTAAAATTTCCATGTTTGTAAGAGTATCAGTAGCTTTTCAAAGTAACACTTTTGTGCAACTGCATATTTGGTTATCGCTGTAGTATACATAAGACTTTTTTGGTGATACCACGAGATTTATGAGGCAGAATCGCTGACAATTTCAGATGGGGAATGAGAAATCTATTTATATGATGTATATTCACCAATCAAGGGGAATTTGTCAACAATTGTAGCAACAAGGCTTATTTCAGATGGGGAATGAGAAATCTATTTATATGATGTATATTTACCAATCAAGGGGAATTTGTCAACAATTGTAGCAACAAGGCTTATATTTGTGAATCATAAATATTTATCTATTAAATTGCTCATCTTCTTCAATCATTGCAGCAACAAATATAGCTGTGGAAAAATTACCATTATGTTGTTTTTTCCCATTTATATTCTTCATGAGATTGGATTCATCATTCCTAGCATTGATAGATAGTGACACTAGGATCTATGTAACCTGTGATAGTAAAAGTGATACCACTCTATGAGATTAGGGCTGCTACAATGGTGTAGCTTTAGATCTAAAAATGATATTTAAGATCTAAACCAATATAGAGTTCTTACTATATAATTGGAGAGAGAAAGAAATAAACTGGAAGAATAAAGATGAAGAAGAAGAAAAACAGTGACGAATTTAAACCAAAACACAATTTTATTTGTCACACTCCGGCACATGTACATTAGGACGAACCAAGACCCCTGTCATATAAACAAGCAAAACTCCATTACCAATCTAAGCAAAACTCTAAACTAGGGAAACATTTTTTGAAAAAAAAAACCCCCACCATTCATAAAATTTACTGTAACATGATGAGCACCAAACAGTAACAAACCCTTCGAAAGCCTCGGTGTCACCCAAGGATTGAAATTTCGTACCGTACCGGAGTTTCGAGATTTGCTCGGTATGATATGGTACTGTATATCGAGCGGTATATTTCGGTATACCGCTCGGTATATATATATATAT